CCGCTTCTCGCGCTTCTCGGTTTCCGAGCAGTCCGGACTGTGGCATGGGGATGACTGGTTCAGAAGACTCTTCTTGAAGACGCACTTGAGAGTCTCTTTGAGGTTCTTCATCGCCCTGTCGGAGCCGAAACCACCGGGTTCCACTTTGACTCGGTCTTTGTATCCACCATCCAGCCTCAGACTCGAGAGCTCTGACCTCGCATCTTCCCGTTCCTCGCTCTCCGAGTAATTCTGGTCGTGCACGTGCGAGATCTTCTCCTGGAGCTGATGCAGGAGACGCTGCATGCTTTGGAGCTGCTCCTTGAGTTTGTGGCACTCCTCGTCTTTGCTGGTCTTTGGTTCCTGGTGCTGGGGGAGCCTCTGCTTGCGTTTGTTCTCCTTCAGGAGGTCTCTTCTACAGCGGACGGCTTCGCACTCGCTCTCCGCTTCTCCGTCGGCGTTGGGCGAAGCAGCCATGCCTCGTATGATGTTCTCCACCCGGGCGCGTTTGGCTTGGAGGTGCTCGCTCACAGACAGATCCTCGTCTTTGAAGGACAGGCAGCTCTGCTCCTCTCGAGCAAAATCATCGGCGCTGTTGGACTCGGGATCGAAGCCGCTGGCGTTTGCGGAGGGCAGGTAAAGGAGGCTGTTGTCCAGCGAGGTCAGTTTATTGTGAATGGTTTTCCGCAGGAGGTGAGATATGATGGAGCCGCTGTGGTAGGACGCCAGAGGCTCGTCAAACGCGCTTCTGCGGAAACAAGGGAGCAAGTGCTCGGCTTTGCTGCCGTCCATGCTGTGTTCAGACGGGCTCAGGTTCATGGTGTTCGCAGGCTGCAGTTGCTGGACTTTCCAGACACAATAATGAGCCTCAGAAGTGCGTGATCTGTAATACTTTGTAAAAAAAAAAAAATAACAGAAATAAATTAGGCATTAGAATAACTGTGCATTAAGCCTTCATATGCAGCTCCTACATTACATAAACAGTATTATACTTACCCATAAATGCAATACTTTGTAAAAGAAAATCTGAAATAAAATACATTACAATATCATTGCATTACGATTACTCTGCATTAAGCCCTCATATGTAGGTCCTACATTATTATAAACTGTATTACACTCTTATCCATAAATATATGCAAGATCAATGGCGCACAAAAAAATTTCATATTCAAACATATATTCATATTCATTCAGTGTTTTGTTTATTATATATTAAAATAATCCTGTTTAACATGTTATGATTTCTCTACAAACAGATCAAACAGAGAAATTATATAAAAGATTTCAAAAGAAAAAACAAGTAACTAAAAATACAGAAGCAAACAAAAAAACGAAATGTATTTTTTAATATATATATATATATATTTCACGAAACACGTTTCATTCGTTTTCAGTTTCACCTTCTTGTGACATTAATACACTTGTTTTTTTCTAATGCTCTCTGTATATTTATATTAATCTGAATATATATATCTATATGCTTTCGCACTCTCTTCATACTTTTAACGTAAATGTTCAATGTAAAAATGAATATGAAACATACTTACATATTTGAGTACGTGTCTTCTGTCTGTCGTTTCATATGTTTATACTTTTCATATTAGTATTATAATGAAGAATGACACCGTTCATATATCAAAGATTTGTTTTCCCCCCGAAAGAGCTGAGACAATAAAAGCGTCAGATTGATGAGAGACACTTCAGCAGGTGATGAGAGCTTTACCTGTTGCTCTGGAGACGCTTGACTGACAGTGTGTGCTCGGCGCGCGCTCTCCTCTCGCTGCACGCAGGTGGGCGTGGCTGAGCCGCCCTAAATCAACACACCAGCCAATCAGAAACGGCACACAACTGTCCATCAATAACTAGAAAGAGCGCCTCCTGATTTTAAAGTCGTTTCGTGAATTTTACTTGGAGCCTTTCGCTTTTGGAGAATTTCATATACAGAAAAGAAAATTTGGCATATCTATATCATATTTCACAAAGTCTAAATAAGTTTGTTCTGTTTATTATGTATTTTAAATATAAAAATCTACTATTTTGTAGCTCAGTATAATTGAATAGGCTACTAGAAATTAAAAATGCTGTCACGTACTTATTTAAGTCATGTATTTGTTTTATCCTATTTTCGTCAATTTAGGTGTTTTGTTAATTATCATTGCTGGAGCAGCTGAAATTATAGGCTATTAGGCGTTGATGCTTTGATTTGGTTGGTTTGTATGTTTCCTGCTCCTCATAAAAAAATTACCACAAAGAATAACATATCTCTATTAAATAAACAATATTAAGTAGCCTAGTAGTTTATATATATGTGTGTGTGTGTGTGTGTGTGTGTGTGTG